GTCTAGTTGTTCTATTTCTTTTTGTTTTTGTTTTTCGTTTTTTTGATTTTGTATGAAATAAGTTGCTCAAAAACAAACAACAACAACACACACACACACACACACACACACCGCACACGCACGCTTGGAAGATGGTGGGGGGGCTTCTGCTGCCTTTCTATCATTGCCGTTTCTGGCAACGGGTGTGGCCCCGTGGTGTATTTCCTTGCAATATCATCTTCATGACGGTATTTCTTTTTCTTCCTTTTCTGTTTCGTTTGTTGTTTTTGTCATTGCTGTCTCTCTTGACCTTGACGGCAGACGGGGAAACCATTTTCTTTTTGGGGAAGCCATGACCAAGGCCAACGGACAACACGCAGCGCGCAAGCTCGTCCGCCTGCGCCGCAAGAACCGCTGGGCAGACAAGGGCTGGAAGAAGTCCCACACCTTTGTGGCACAGAAGGCCAACCCCTTTGGTGGCTCCTCCCACGCGAAGGGCATCGTGCTGGAGAAGATTGGTGTTGGAGCGAAGCAGCCTAACTCCGCCATTCGTAAGTGCGTTCGCGTGCAGCTGATCAAGAACGACAAGAAGATTATTGCCTTTGTGCCGAATGACGGTTGCCTGCACTTCATTGAGGAGAACGACGAGGTGCTGGTGTCTGGATTTGGCCGTTCTGGCCACGCCGTCGGTGATATTCCCGGAGTGCGTTTCAAGATCGTGAAGGTCTCGAACGTCGGTCTTTATGCCCTCTACCGCCAAAAGAAGGAGAAGCCTCGCAGCTAGAGTGCGGTGCGCCCCCGTGAGCCATAGCTGCCCCAACAGCAGCTGCAGCAGCATATCCTTGGTCTGAGCTTGGCCTTCGCGCGGTAAGTGGTAGGGACACTTGGTGGTTTCACGTCACAGTCAAGTATTTTTCTTTGTTTTTTAAATTTATTTTAATCCTTTTTTGCGGCGGTCTGTGGCGCCTCTGCTTGCTCTCCTGCACTGCCTGCATTTAGGTGGTCTGAACTGGCACAGAATTACCTTTTGTGGGCATTTTACAACATCTTTTTCATTGTTTTTTTTTTTTCCTGCTCTGCTTGTGGGTTTGCTTCTCTTGTTTTCCCACCGCTGACAGAAGCCAGGG